CATATTGTGCTGATTATTATCAGTTCATTTTCCACGAGAGAGAGAGAGAGAGAGAGAGAGAGAGAGAGAGAATTTAAAGTTAAAAAACTTTAAGATTAAAATATTGAGCATTGTTCATTTATTACACTAAATATTTGACATTTTTCACTATTATCGCATATATAAACTCAAGTATAACCTAAGTTATCATTATCAATTAGTAACAAAAGTGCAATATTATTCTGAACACCTGAACCATCAGTAGATTTTCAAATTAAAACGCATCCAACCAAGTGTAAATACCACAATTTTCCACTACCTCAATTACAATTCACATAACTACAATACACTGTCACCAGCAAAACAACATGATAACAAACATATGAATGTCTAAACGCCAAAACAGGTTATTTTAATAGATATGCATTACATTAATTAAAGTTGTGATTTAGTTTGATATCGATAACAATAATAACTGCTAATTATTGCGATATTAGCTAATGTCTAAAAATAAGTTTTAATTAATAAGTGTGCTTGGTGTATTATCAAATAGCATAGATTTAAAATATATTTATTTAAACTTATAGTTTATTGAGTGATATTTACCAGACATGCCGTAAATATTTATAGAATATTCTGTATATTTAATATTTTTATTAAATTAGTGTTGTATTTATTTTTATGTTATACGGAATATTCCTATATATCTATATGAGTGATAATAAGTTAAAACAAGTCGACCGCGTGTAACTTTATAAAAACAGTGCCATTTTATTGCCGCAAATAAATAATCATTATAAAATATTTATTGTATTATTATAAAGTTCATTTTAAAGAGGTGTGTGTTTTTATAACCGGTGTTTAAAGTGAGTGGCAATTGATAATAATAACAACATGTTTATTTATAAATTAATGTACAACTAATTGCAGTTAAATTGGATTTTTATTTTGCAATTAATACGGGATAATAATGTGTGGCAGTAATTAATAGAAATAATGCCGATTAGATATGGAAATAATAATTGTATAATAATTTGATTGCGATAAAAAATATTGATCCTCTATTAAATGTGCGAGTGTTGCCAACTATACTAATATAAGGTATATAATAAAACAAATTAGCCAAACATATTAATTATTTTGAGATCTAGTGTCATTGCTGTAAATTCCCTTAATGTACTAGATCATATTAGCAGACAATATTTTTAAACTATATGCACTTTCTTAAAGTACAGGCGCCTGGAATATACAGTGTACGATATTTTTAATTGTTTATGTAATCAGTTTTGTGGTTATTCATTATATAAGTCTATTGTCAATCCTATTGTGTTAGGCTACCGGTTTACCTTGATGCACTTAGATTAAGTTAATTAACGTTTTCTTATGATTTTTTATCGCAAATATTTTGTATTAATTCATTGTTTGAAAATTTTGATTGATTAATAATTTATGAGATAAAATGTGTTCAAGTTTAGTTACTGCTTTAGGTTGAATTGGCGATTAATTATCTTAATAATTTTATTTTTTAACACTGTAACAAATGTGTCCTGGTTCTTTTGAAAATTTTATTTACGATAAAATGAATTGAATTATAATATATTAATTATTTAAAGTATAGTGCACTAGATTTAAAATAATGATTTTACTAAACATATAACAATTGACAGTTAAATCAACACAATTAATGTCTAAATAGGTTTGTTTACTAAAATTTAATTGTGTTTTTGCTCATAAATATTAATAGAAAAAACTTGTATTGAAAAGTGTATTGAAATATTTATTCAGATGTTATTTTCGAGACAAAGAGATAAATATCGATGAATTTAATGCGAAAATTATGGTTATTTTATGATTGATTTTAAAGTTATTGTTGCAAAATAAGTATGAAATCCACTTATTTTTGTATTGGAAATACTGTTTTGCGAAAAACCTTTGTGTCTTCGCATAAATCATGGGATTTTTTGTGTGTTTTTTAATAATAAAAGTCACATAAAATTGTTTTATCTATTTAAAAACTAAATTAAGTTCTCTCTCTATCTCTCTCTCCCTCTCTCTCTCTCTCTCTCTCTCTCTCTCTCGAGGAAAATGAACTGATAATAATCAGCACAATATGCATATCAATGTACGATAAGCGCCGAATAACCATCATGTTTAATAAATGCTTATATCTAATTACCGTTATAAAACAGGAAAAAGTTTTTATATGTTATCTTATAAAAATAAATTTTTTAATAAGCTATGTACTACCATCTAGCATCATGCACTATTCATATAAATAAACTCATTCTATAGTCACATATAAATAACAAATAAAGTGCAATAAGGGGTATCAAAAATTTGAATGACACGTATGATTTAAGGATCAGTTAATCAGCTAAATTATTTCAATGACCAGCAAGATTGTTTTGGCAGGGGGCATTTTCAGAAAGGCCAAAAATAGAAAACAATTATCATCAATCATTCTATGATCGGGCATCCACAAATGCCGTTACGATATCGGATGGGTTTTCAAAATGAGGGGCACTTATTAATAACACTAATAAATCATTCAAACAGTTTTATTACAGAATATTCGTGGACTAAAACAGTTTAATAATACATAACGTCGTCAATGAATAGTTAATAACAAATGGTTAGTACCATAAACAACGTTTTTAATGTCATCGTCACTGTAGTAAACATATACGTTATTTATGAACGTGAGATACAATGAATGGCCAAAAAGCAACAGTGCATCCGATAGTGAGAGGGGGTGAGAGGGGGAGTGATGAGTGACACACGCGTAGCCGCCATACCAATGAATCATTGATAATAATCACTGAATGGCATCACTCATAAATCACGTGACAAAATGTGACGGCAATATTATATATCCATAATATACCCCTTACACACCCCACCCCCTATTAGAAACATAATGATGCAATCATAACACACACATGTATGGTTAGGTTCGATGGCCGGCGCGCCATATGATTGAGTCAAATGCTTTCATTTAAAAGGCTATACGAAAAATACAAACACTTTTTGATAACAGTTTTGATTGGGTTTTGAAATTAAACACACGTTTAATACTGTGTTATAAACACAACCAATGATTAACGCAATTAGTGTTTAGTTTAGTTTTTATTACAAGTGATTTAATTAACTAATATATAATTAACAAGTGTTTGAAAAAACCACTCAAAAACTTACCCGAGAAGTGAAACACCCGTTCGGAGCCGAAGACTATGTCCACCACTCAAGCGGTGGCCCGACGGGGAGGTCGAGGCGGCGGCGGTGGAGGGGCCGCAGCGGCCGCCGATGACTCGGCCGTACAACAGGTCTGTCCAACACGTGATTAACACGTGTGTGTTGTGTGTGTCTTGTTTACCACCGATGACTCATCTATATATCTGTCCCTTTAGGCTAATGGTCAACAACAGGCGCCCGTCGAAGCGCAAGCACCGGCCCAACCGGCAGGTCTGGCTACCCGTGACCCCCGACCCCACTATCCGGTGACCAATCGTTTTGGTCAACCACTTGTGTTTATATCTAGTTCCTAATCTTATCATGTTTATCATCACTCCTCCCACAAACCTAACTCCCCGTTGCTTTGATTTGATCCACTGATTGGTTGATTAATTGTGTTTTTAAATGTGTACAATAGGTAACCGATTCTGGTCGGTGGCTCAGGGCTTGATATTCCGTGGGCTCATCATATACTTCATCACATCATTCTTCAGAGGCCGGTCCGCTCCCCAGACGGCCGGCACCGGTGGGCCCAACAGTCCGCTCACAGGCGCCAAACCCGTCATCTCCTCATCTAATCTATTCACTAACGGAACAGTTATGGTAATGAACGCCTCTCTCACTCACTCCCTACCTATCACCAACCGATCCCTCTCTTCCCTCCAGCGTTACCACAAGAATATTCTGTGCGATATATCAGAGCGAAAACAATAAGCAATTGATTTGCTATGAATAAAACCATATTTTAGTTTTGATAATAACCTCCAAATAGTGTACACATGTGTATAATTACCAGACCTTAAGGCCGGGCCTCCCCTTTACTGCGAACACACCTGTGTTTTTACTTTGTGTGGCAAATGCTAGTAGACATCGCTATTGTGTTATAAAATTACATTTTTGAAACTTATTGTTTCAATTATCGCCACACAGTTGTCACTCTCCCTATTGTTATTAGTGTTTGTTATTTGTCTGCTAATTGATAGCAAATAACCATTCATTTTGGTGTCCAAATCATAGGATCTGTTTCTATACATATGCGACGACGAACTGAAACCGGACTTTGATAACAAACAGCAACTCGTATGGCACGAGTCGGGTCTCGTGTACGGCGACTGGACGTCTGGGCCCACCGGCGACGGTATATACACGAAGGACGTGAACGTCCCGCTATCGCCGGTACACTCTCTCTCTCTCTCTCTCTCTCTCTCTCTCTCAAAAAACAAAACACTATCTCAAAAACAGCACTCATTTTACACTTAAAACGTTAGGCAAACGTTTGACAAACGTATAGCTCTCTCGCATAGTGTACTCTCTCTCTCTCTCTCTCTCTCTCTCTCTCTCTCTCTCTCACTTTCTCATTATAAATTACTAAATCATAACAAAAACACTTGAATACCCCTAAAGAGCGTACAAAATAACGGCTCTTTATGGCTACACATATACGTAACCAAATGGACAGGACTGCGACCGCCGTCGGCGCCCTCTAAGGCGGGCTTTCGGCCACTGGAGACGATTCACAAGCGCCGACAGCTGAACAGATATAAGCGCCGGTACTATAAGAAGACGCACAACTTGTTGAGCGGCGAAACGGTGGCCACCAAAGAGGAACAGGAGAAGGCCGAGGCCAACATCAAACACGAGGTGATGTCCCACTGGCACCCGAACCTTACCATCAATATCATCGACGATCACACGCCGTGGGTCAGGGGCTCAGTGCCCGTGCCGTTGGACGAGTTCGTGGAGTTCGAGCCCACGACCGGCCAATACTATCCAATTGTTTACGTCAACGACTACTGGAATCTGGGGAGAGATTATATGCCCATCAATGATACTGTCGAGTGAGTTGTCTATAGTGTATACACGGCTATAGTGAATCCCATTGGGACGGGTGTATAACTTACCCATACATTTAAGCGATAGGATAAAGTCTATATTGCGATAAGTGTTGGTTCACTATAAGCGAACTGTAATCAAATAATTACTCGTTATTAGTGTGCATAAAAGTTGAATCAGTTTATTAACAATTGGAAGTGCAAAATACATTAAAATTTAGTACACAGACATTGGCTGTTAATAACACAACTTTTACCATAATTATAATCCACATAATATTATGCTTTATAAATAAATTATCCGTATAGTGTACATGCAGTATAAGGGGTGGGGGTAGATATAAAATTGCATTAATGGTTATTTTTAATTGATTTATTTATAGTGAAATCTCGCTGAAGCTGACATACCAGCCCCTGTCGATGTTCAGGTGGCAACTGTACACCGCGCAGGCCATGCGCTCCCGATGGACGTCATTCATGGGCTCCGACCTCATGGAACAGGACGACGACGAACAGGATCTGCTCAAAGAGACATTCCTCGAGACGTCGCCCATACTGTTGGGCCTAACGGTGTTGGTGTCCATCACTCACTCCGTGTTTGAGTTCTTGGCCTTTAAAAACGGTAAATAAACCCCTCCGACGGGTTCGCCCGTGTCTTACCTGTTAAGGCCCGAGTGATGGCCAGTAGTTATTAAATGAGTTGTCCCCTGAATCGGTGCCGTGTGTTTGTATCACAGTTTTTATAGTTTACTATACATTACACTAATTAATGGCATTTATTAACTGTTATTTAAACACTGTTTATAATGTCCAGTACAAGTATAGCCGGTGCTGAGCGATGCTGACAGTCATGTTTACTTACACTTATAGCACTGGCACTTACTTTAAACACTTTAAAATCAATCCCAATAGTGTACACTATTAGAAATATCACCAAGTTCACTGCGTGTATATCAGAATGTACTGTAGATATAACCCCGTTAATTCATACAACAAAATTACAAACTCGAAAAAAATAAATCCCGATAAAACTTAAATAATTTTACAAAATACTAATTTTTAATTCATTTATCTATTCAATGGCGACAGACATCCAGTTTTGGAAGAACCGGCGTTCGCTGGAGGGCCTGTCGGTGCGGTCGGTGTTTTTCAACGTGTTCCAGTCGGTGATAGTGTTGCTGTACGTGTTGGACAACGACACCAATATGGTTATTAGGGCGTCGGTAGGCATAGGACTGCTCATCGAGTTGTGGAAGATTAAGAAAGTGGTCAACATTGAGATCGATTGGGAGCGCCGCTGGTTTGGCACTATTCCCAGAGTGCTGTTCTCCGATAAGGGCTCGTACGTCGAGAGCGCGACCCGTCAGTACGATATGGTCAGTAGTGTATACCCCGACTCCGATCCCAACCATAACCCTCTGCACCGCCCCCGCAAGTACTGACCCCTTTTTGAGAGACCCATAAGTGTTTGCTAATCAATACCTGTTTGCAAACCCCGATTGCCTGTTAGCCCGCGCCGCCACTGCCAGTATAACCCGCCCGTCCCCTACCATCGCATAGAAAACTTACACTTCTAGCCATACACCCGACCCCACCCGTACCGTTCCCCCAGACAATAGTGTTTAAATTGATTTTTATTTATAATAATTGTTTGTTTGTGTTTATAGTTGGCGTTCAAATACCTGTCGTGGGCTTTGTTTCCATTGTTGGTCGGCTATAGTATATATTCACTGCTATATAATGAACATAAGGGCTGGTATTCGTTCGTATTGAATATGATTTACGGATTTTTACTCACTTTCGGTCAGTATTTGCAGTTAATTACATCAGAGAGAGAGAGAGAGAGAGAGAGAGCAATGAGAAACGATGAATACCTACTACGATGACCAGCACTGATGACACTGTTGTTTGTAAAATAGGTTTCATCATGATGACACCGCAACTGTTCATCAACTATAAGCTGAAATCGGTGGCACACCTCCCGTGGCGGATGTTGTCCTACAAATTCCTCAACACATTCATTGACGACATCTTCGCGTTTGTCATCAAAATGCCGACAATGTATCGGTTGGGCTGTTTCCGAGACGACATCATATTCTTGATATTCCTATACCAGCGCTGGATCTATCGCGTGGACCACTCGCGGCTCAACGAGTTCGGTGTCAGCGGCGATGATTTGGCCGCCGCCGACGCCTACGTGGCCGCCGGCGGTGTCGCCAATGCGGTCACAGCGGGCGCTGATGGCGATGACGAGCCGCCAACAGACGCGGACACGACGCCGGCCTCTGGCGGTCAAGAAGACAAGAAAAATATTTAATTTTTTAATTTAATTAATTATATAATTATTGTAATTGAAACAAAAGACAACTTATGATAAGTTTATATATAATTTAATTGTAATTTTTTGATTGTTTTTATCCCCAGAAATGAATGGCATTTTTAAAGATGTTTTCATTGATTTTGAGTTTTTTGAAAGAAATTTAAAAACAAATTTCTTGTTTAGAGTTTAGAGACAAAGAAAAAATAGACAAAACATTTGTTTATTAATTAAAATTTAATTATATTTTTCTCTTTTTTAAAAATTAAATAAAAGGTTTTGAATAAAGAAATCGCGGTTTGATTTGAACGGTGAAAAAATTGGCCAAAAAAATAACAGCAAAAACTAAATCCAATTTATTGCTCAATACAGGTGTCGACGCCCACCAAAATCGGAGGTTTATAATAGGCGTATATATGAAAACCCTGCGCCCCCGGCAGTCGAGGGGTTGTAGGGGGCGGTGGGTGTGGGCGTGACCAACAAAAAACATGTTCAAATTAGGCTCAAAAACTATGGCAAATATATTATAATAAATGGTTTCACAAAAATCAAATTCAATTCAATTTTGCGGTACATATGATAGGGAAGTAATGGCTGTAATAGAGAGAGTGGGGGTGGGAAAGGGAGGGCCCCACAGGTTATTACAGCAAATTAATTCATTTCAATCGATATTCACAGATAATATAATGAAGAGAAAAAGCGAAAATTCACAAAAAAAAGAGTTCACAGAAAAAAATAGTTATAAAAAACTATTAAATAATAATTAATAAAAAGTTATATTCAATTAATAATATCCAATAATAGTTGTATGAAAATAATAATAATAGACTTCTGGTTGTTATTATAATAACGGATGTGTTGTGTAGTGTTTTTTAAAAATCTTGGTTGAAATTTTCAATCGCAAAAATAATAGTCAATTAAATTCATTGAAAAAAATGCCACAAATCTCTAGTCATTATCACTGAAGTCGGACTCGAAGGCTACTGACGACCCGTCATCCGAGTCGTAATGCGATGACTGATCGCTGGCCAGCGAATGACTCGCACGGGCAGTGGCGCCGCCTCCGCGGCCACCAGTGCTGACAGACCGTACGGACTGTACAGAGGAGTCGCTGTCACTGTCGACATCGAAAGTGGACGAGTCGTCGCCGCCGTCATCGCTATCCGAGCTGTTATTGTCGTCGCTGTCGGACTGGACAGCAAAGTCTTCGGCCGATATGGTTATGACACCGCCTTCGGCGTCGCTATTGTCATCATCACTGCTGTCGTCGTCACTGCTATTGTTGTTGCGGTCAGTATTGCGACCGTCATTGTTGTTGTTGACGATGTTGTCAACGGTTATTACGTTATCGTCATCGGAGTCGTCATCCGAAGAGTTATTGTCGTCATCGGATGAATCGCTGGAACTGCTCACCGACGACACGGACGAGTCGCTACTGCTGCCAGCGTCGGTGATAAATGGCGAATGGGCGCCAAAGTCGACGCCAATCACGTTATAGTTGTCGAGATCTGATTCAGCGGCGGCACCGCCACCGCTCAGGAAGAATCGCAACTGCGAAAGACCGCCGACGTCTACTCTAACCCGACCTAAAACATACCAACAAAAAAATTGAATCAGAAAAGTGATCATTAAATAAATGGCGCCACAAATTAACCACATTATGGTCAACACCATTATTAGCAACAACTCATTACCTCTACTTCCATGAGCCGCAGCTGAGGCGGACTCCGCCGCCGCGGCCGCTTCACTGGCCTTCTTCTCGAGCCGTTTCTTGCGCTCAGCGACCAGTTTCTCGCGATGTTCTCGGAGTTCGGGTTTCATTTTGGCCACAAACCGGTCGATCAAGTTGTCCAACACTAGTTCCCGGTTCTGATTCTCGATGCGTTTGCGGCAAATGGGACAGACGTGTGCGCCCGCCTTCGAGTGCTTCCACTCTTCGATACAGGCGAAGCAGAAAGTGTGCGAACAGTTGAGGTTCACGGCGTGAACGAAGTACTCGTGACACACCGGACACGTCATCTCCGACTCAAATATCTCTTCCATGGGTTCCTTAGTGTCTGCGGCGGCACTCGTGGCCGACACACCCGAGTCAGCGGCCACTGTCTGGTCGCTATCGTTGCCAGACGTCTCAGTGTCGGCGGCTTTGGTGTGTTTGGTATTGCACTGGCGTTTGGCGGCCGCCGAATCGGACCGCAGCTTACGCTTAGCCGAAGTGGACGACACCGCCGTCTGTTGACTGGACGAGTCGCACGGCTCGTCGCGGCCGCCGTTGTTGGCCACGCGTTGACGCCTACGATCGCCGCTGCTGTCCCTCTGGAGCTGCTGCTCCCGGAGACGGCGCTTCTCTTTGGCCAACTCTTTGCGCATTTTGTCCAACTCTTTCTCGCGACGGGCGGTCTCTCTCTCCTTGCGGTCGAGCGCCAGTTGTTTGCGGTTCAGGTGCGACTCCCGGCGCCGGATCTTTTCCATCTCGCCGGCCGAGCGCTCCTCCAGCGACCGCTTCGTGCGCTCCAATTTGGCCAACTCTTTGTCAAAGCGTTTGCGTTCCGAATCGGACACCATTTTGGCCGCCGCTGTGGACGACTCGCCCCTCGCCATCATCGGTGCCACAGTTAGTGGCGATCGACAGATGGCCTCTCGTATGCGCGCCAAACGGGCGGCTTTGACCGCTTTGGGTGCGGGCGACGAATGCTGGCCGCGATTACTGTAGTCGTGGTCCACGTATGGGTTACCACTGGTCCTGAATGTGGTGCCGCACCTCCAACCGGATCCCGATGTGTGGGAACCGCTGCCACCGCCTGTAGACATACGGGGAGATCGGGTGCCGCGACTCGTATTGGTTGTGGTTGTAGTGGTCGATAGGCTGTAGTTAATGCCGCTGCGAGTGGTCGGCATATTGGCCGTCAACTAATATGGATAGTAATGTTTTTGGGTGTGAATACAAATGTGGTCACACTGTTCGCCGAGTTTGGCCGCGAATACTATACCGAAATGGTTCGGCTCTGATTGGCGTCGATATCCAGCCTCAGCGACGATGAGTGCCGATAACCAGAGGCTGTGAGGCCACCAACCGATGCGCCGCTACCGGTGCTCGTCTGGATGCGGGTAACGATCGGTATAACAGTGGGCAGACTAGTGGTCAGTCCGATGGCCGACAACTCGTACGATATGCCGGAACCGTTACCAACACCACCACCACTACTACTACCGGTGCCAACAACACCACTGCCGCCGTTGCCCTGGGATGAGGGCTGTGTGAGTGGCTGTTGACCACCACTGGAGTAATTGTCCACAAATTGGTAACAAAACTGTGACTGATTTGGCGGACCAAACGACACTTTGTCGCCGTTCACCAACCGATACGGACTGTACGACTGGAGCTGCACGG